CTACCTTCTCACCCATATGCCTGGACCTTGTTTGTGGAACAGCTATCCCTACTGGTGAGAAAATAGTTCACTTACCTGGCTCATACAATCTTTGGTGCCTCTGCTGAGATTGCCAACCAAAGCACAAGGTGTGTTGTGATGATAATTTGGTTATGGTTTCTGCTCAACTAGAAAGTGGACCAACATCACAAATTCACTTATTCTGAAACATTACATGGCCAACAGATAGCAACAATATAGGCTGGATGTAAAGATGATCTAGGAGGGACAGGTTAGCTCCTGCTCACTCCCTTTCCAGACCCAGTGCCCTATTAGCTCTTATTCTTTTACCATTTTTTTATATTTGTTTCATGTGCATTCCTAAACTGGTAATATTATATATTCAGTAGTTACTTATAATTAATAGTAGTTTGCCATCTTGTTTTAACCTGTGAGGAAACATAGAATTGAAAAGCAATTGAAATCAAATCTAAAATTACTTGAAATCAAATCTAAAATTACATTATCTGTGAGTGTAATATTTTATTCCTGTATAAATCTAGTTAGGACTTTGTGGTAATCTCTGACCATCTGTAAAGCAGAACAGGACTGTTTCAAAACAAGGTCCAAGAAAGAGAGCTCAGCAAGGATTTAAACATGCGGGAAACCATCATATACATTCAAAAGCTCTAAAGCTTGAGTGGAGGTGTTAATGAAATATATATCAGAAATATCTTGAAACTGTTCAGCTAATAAGTTCACTATGAGGCTGTAAGAAAGAGTCTCTAACTCATTGCACTTTTTGCCTACTATTTTTCAGGGTACAATACTCCAGCGTTTTATACAATCACTCCCTTTCTTAAATAGCATCTTGTTTGCATGTTACTGAGGAGACGTTTCCTATTTTAACCTTACCTGACACTAAGGTTTCTAAAATGAACCTGAAAGACCTTTTAATTATACCAGGCCACAATTCCTTTTTCATCAGGTCTGCAAATGAGCTGTGTGGAAGGTGTGGGTTTTTTTTGTTTTTTCTTCTGGGTATGTCAAAAACTTAGATGGAAAAAAACCCTATTGTATTAAAAATGGTAAAGTTATAAGATCTTCACAGTGTGTGTTTTAAAAGCAGGAAATCGCTAGAATGGAAAAGGAACAAATATGAAATGTGTGTGGAAATATACAGTAGTTTTCATCTGTGATGTCTACAGAATGTGCTTAATGCAGTTCAGGATGCTGAGTTTCATATGTTAGTGTCCTAAGCACATACCCGGTATCTTACTGAATAGTTCAATATATCGTAAGTACACAAGTCACAGAGTACATGTACACACAAATATAAATATGCATTGTAGGTAGCTTTATCTACATGAAATGCTATACTTATCTAATCTTGATCACCAAATCAGTATCATTTGGTATACTAGTACATAAAAATGATGTTACAGCTTTTCTTCTTTCCTTTTACTTGTGCTTTGTGACTATCAGACACACTTTACATTCAAAGTCATGTTGTTCACCTTTTTCAGAACTATCATCATGCCATTGCTTTCATTGGCTATATCCAGTTAAATACCATAAATCCTTATCATTGCTTGTTAGAGGTACAGTAACTTTAACTGAAGCAGTAAAATGTGGTATAGGCTTTTAAGTGCTGAAAACTGTCCCTGTGCTTTATAATTCTTAGAAAAAGGCATAGTACCAAACTTACTGCACTACACACCATACCACAGTCATCCTGTAGTAAAATATTATGCAAACATCTTCTACAGTATGTTACTTGCAGCAGTTCCAGCAGCAGTACACTCACTAAAAACAAGTTGCTTGTAAACCCTGGAGATGTTGGCTTGTACCATCCTATATGTTTTTTCACAGTTCTCGTATTTCTGCAGGCATAATTGGAACCATAGATTTTTAAAGTTCTTCACTTTCCACCACATTCTGGGATGGGGATGAAAACAGCATTGAGCTTTCAACAGCTGGGAAGGCAGAAAAAACGTCAAGTCCTTGTCCAGCGAGGTTTGCATACCGGTTGCCTCCTGGTCGATACTTTATTGGCTGTGGGATCTGTTGGTGCCATTGTGCTGAAGCAACAAAGACAAAGAACAGAATAAATAAAATTGTGGATGAAGTACAGTTTATCGCTTGGAAGTTGGTTCCAGATCCTAGCAGAGGACTGGAAAAGGGCCAATGTGGTTCCCATCTTCAAAAAAGGGAGGAAGGAGGACCCGGGGAACTATAGGCCAGTCAGTCTTACCTCGATCCTGGGTAAGCTTTTTGAGAGAATTATTCTGGTACATGTCCACGAGGGGCCAGCAGGGGAGTTTATGCTTAGGGGCAACCAACACGGGTTCATTATAGGCAGGTCCTGTTGGACCAACCTGGTGGCCTTCTACGACTAGGTAACCAAATCCTTAGATGCAGGGGTAGCAGTGGACGTAGTCTTTCTGGACTTTCGGAAGGCCTTCGACACTGTCTCTCACCCCGTTCTCATTAAGAAACTGGGGGTCTGTGGTGTTGACACCCACACAGTCAAATGGGTCACCAACTGGCTGGAGGGCCGCACCCAGAGGGTGGTGGTGGATGGGTCATTTTTGACCTAGAGGGATGTGGGCAGTGGGGTCCCCCAGAGCTCGGTCCTTAGGCCTGCACTGTTCAACATCTTCATCAGCGACTTGGATGAGGGGGTAAAAAGCACCTTGTTCAAATTTGCAGATGACACTAAGATGTGGGGGGAAGTGGGCACGTTAGAAGGAAGGAATAGGCTACAATCAGACTGAGACAGGTTACAGGGGTGGGTGGATGAGAATAGGATGGGATTCAACACTGACAAGTGCAAGGTGATGCACCTGGGGAGGAAGAACCAGCAGCATACCTACAGGCTGGGGAACTCGCTTCTCATCAGCGCAGAGGCAGAAAAGGATCTTGGAGTCATTAT